AATACTGCCTGACAGTCTCTTCTGCAGAGTTTTTTTTTTTAAAAAAACCTTACTTTACTATTGGAGATGGCAGAGAAGCTACTTCTGATGTTGTTGTCATTTTCTATTACACAATGGCTTTACACAACCTCCTTGAGGGCCCATACTTCCCAGTCTGAAAAACGCAGTGGGAGAAATTCTTTCACTGATATCAAATGCCAGAAGAAGAAAAAACCCCGACAGGCTGCTGTAAAAATAATCGTACACTGGCACCTGGATGTCGCACAGATGCCCTTTGGCTTCCTCATAACTAAGCAAGCACGAGCATTATCCCCCTCCACTTTGGGGGAAGCCCAGGGGGGGGAACCTAAGGGCAAGGGCTTCAAGGGAAGGCAAAAGGAATAGTTGCACTGTCATGACACAAGGGCCAGCCCTTTCATGTATGTGTGGTGACACTGCAGGCAACTATGAAAGTGATAAAACGTGGGTCACAGTGATACAACATTGCTTTCATTATTTTGATAAAAGCAGAGGAACCTCTGCAAATCTCTGAGAACCTTCCTTCCCTCCCTCCCTCCCTCCTTTCTTCCTTCCTGCCCTCTTTCATTCTTTCCTGCCTCCCTTCATCCTTCCTTTCTCGTTTCCCTTCCTTTCCCTTTTAATTTTTTTATAGCTGCCCAACTCCAACTGTCTTTACACATGTTTCATTTTAGTTTTAGCCCACCCCATATGCTATCTTCCAACCATGCTCTTGAACGTAGCTTGTCCGGCCCCAGCCAGCCATGCAAATGCTCAGAAACAACGTGTGGTGTTTGCATTCAGCCCTTAAAAGAGGGCAAGGTTGGGGGACAATAGGTCTGGAATGGGACAACTCACCCCAGCCAATTCACCATGGCCAAATCTAGCTGCTCGGCTGCAAAGTTCTATTCACCTAATGGCCTTCACAAGATAAGGCATTTTCCCAGCTGGATATAACCATGTTCTGTGAAGAACGCTAGCGTAATTATTGATGATAATCAGAGGAAACTCTAATCATTACCCACTGTCAATAGACATGAGCTGCTTCTATCAGGACGACCTGAACGCTAGGGAAATGCAGTGATTTGTGTTTGTGTATGTATGCGTGTGTGCGTGTGCAGTGCACTGTTCCATTCTGATATCCTAAAGAAAATTAGAGGCAGAATAGTACAAGATAGATTTAACCCCAAGCAACAATTTTCTAGGTGTGCAACATGGTTTTATATTGCCAAGTGGTCTCTGGACTTTTGTCATAAGTTACCATGTGATATCTCTGGCCTTTTCCTACCTTTCCCTTCTGATGGGGTCAGGGCACAATCAGGGCAGTTTGAGGATTCCTAATATACTTTGGGCACTATCCAATAGTCTGAACCACGAACCAGGGAATGCATTCCTCTGATCAACCCATCTCTGTCCATTCCTCTTTCCGGAGAGTTTTGTTTTCAAGTCATTTGACTGTGTTATGAGCTCTGAGGTCTACAGCCCTGTTTTTAATATTTCTTTTGTTTCCTCGAGAGAATGAAAGAAAGGCTCATCCCATTTCTCTAACCCCTGTTACACCTAATGTTGCTTAAAGATAATAATGTTTTATTATCTTTCCTAATCATAGGACTAACAAAATATCGAAGCCGAAGCTTTCATTGGTAAGAGCGTGCTGATAGCATAAATCAGAACAGAGTCTTCCCTAGTCGGCCTCCGAAGAATGCAGATTTGCCCCATCTGAATGTATCATTCGCTATTTTAATAACTGGTACTATTAAGGTGCAAATTGCAACTTTTAAATAATGATTGCTAATAGCCTTATGTTTACTGCCACACGAGGACTTTCATGAAAACAAATTCTGCATTATTCATTTCTACTTCCCATAAACAAAGTAGATGCAGCTGGTTTCTCTCTCTCTCTCTCTCTCTCTTTCTCTCTCTCTCTCTCTCTCCTCTCTCTCCTTTTCTTTTCTTTCTTTCCTCTGTTGTACTTGGGGCTTTTGCTTCTTAAAAGGGAAACCTCTCAGGCCCCAACAGAGGTAGGAAGGGGAGCCAAAGGGCAGGGAGGAAGCAGAAAAGCCAACTATTAAGTTCAGGTTTACATTCAGGAGCAATGAACAGCGAATTTACAATGTACAAAATAAAACATGCACATCTCGACAAGCCCTAGGAGGAGAGAAGAGCTTAATCCTGTGGAATTGGGAAAGCTATTTCCGATATAGATTTTTTTTTAAAAAAAATGGAATTAACATATCAATTCAGTCTTAGTCCTAGTTCCTCCCTTTCCATTGTGTTGGGTCACACAAACGGGCAATTTCCCAGAGTCACCTGCATTTTTGTCATTCAGGAACAACCTGGCTTGATTCTCCTCTTCCTCTCTTCTCCTCTATGTTATCTCATTGGCTGCGAGAGCATTTTCTGCTGTCTTGCAGCCATGGGAGAAGAGGCGAATCAGACAGACAATCTGCAAAGCACCTTGGGCTCTTTCGGGATGGAGGATAGCAACGCACATGATAATATATCATTGCAAGTCAAGGTATGATGTAATGTCAGGCACTGACCTAAAAATATCCAAACATCTGCTCAAAGAATTAGGCAGACAATAGTCGAAAAGAACAATTGCTGCTGAGAAAGGAGTTCGGAGGAACATATGCATCTGACCCTTGCTGTTTTCCCTGACTCACGAGTACCATTTCTGAAGATGCTTTTGGAGAGAAGGATAAAAAAGTGCCTTCCTCATCCCCTTATCCACTTACATTGCTGATTTTCATTACGGCACTCTGTAAAATATAAGGTTGTCATGGCTTAAAATTAATGGGGGGGGGGGAGAGAGAAATTGTCATGTTTCCAGGATCCAGCGGGCCATCCTCCTTGATTCCTTTGCTTGTTTTCGCTAACCTTTACGATGTTCATTAATCAGAAAAGAAACCTGTTTCCAAAGTAGATGCTTGGATGTAATTATTTACAGTTGTTGCATAGGCATTAAATCCAAGCCATAACAGAGACAGCTAAATCCAAAATCCCATCACTTAACTCCCCCCCCCCGCCTTACAGACTGGCAGTCTCAAAAGTTGTAAACTTTTTTTAAAAAATTGAATCGAACCCAGTCAAACTCATCATCAGACAAAAGAATCAGACAGACCTTTCCCAAACATTTAATTCTTTTTTTTCTTCCTTTTTGCTCTTTCTCCCTTTTGAAGAGGAAGATTAAAGGCTCAATAAAGAAAGCCAAAGAGAGAATAGTTGTGCCAAACATCGGGATAATCAATTATTTCCTTCCCTTCCTCCTCCTTCTGTTCCAAGGCCACACTGTGGCACAGAGACTTTGAGACGGTATTCAGCTATTAAAACAGAACCTTTTTTTTTCATTGGAATGCGGGAAAGAAAAAAAAAAGTAATCTTACAACAATGGCTAAGCTATAATGCACACCCAGTTATCCAGTTTAATCTTGCTTCAGGTGGACTCTCTTGGGAAAAAAAAAACCCTAGTAAATTGTCCCTTAAAGAAACCAGCTGAAACCATACAGAGTGGAAAACAAAAGAATTCCCGAAAGAAGACACTGTTGAAAGGGAATCACAAGCATTATTCCGTAAGCAGAGAAAGTGAGGTGTGCCCAAGTTTTCCAAAGTATTTGCCTGGAAACCTTTACAAGAAATAAATGATCAAGGGAGCATAACCATGGGCCCAGGCCAAGGATGGCATTACAATGAATCAGTTGAGAAGATGCCATTAAATCACTTGCTGTTGTTGCCCAGTATCATCTCTCCTCCTATTCTTTCCCCTCGCCATCAATCCTGTTTCTTTCTAATCTTGTGCATACTCTGAATGAAAAGCAATTTATTAAGACAGTCAAAGAGAGGAACATTTTGAAATGGCAGGTATATATAGACAATGAGTTTTTATGATAGCAGAACTTTCAAAAACACTTTATTCTTAGGAAATATTGGGCTTGGGAAGTTTAAAAACAAGAAGAGTCATAAAGACCAAGAAAGATTTCTTTCTTTCTTTTTCTCTCCCCCCCACCAAAAAAACCTCCTTGCATATGGAGAAGAAACTGAAACAGATAATAGTAATACTAACAGTAATAGTCATGTACTATTTGCTTTGCAAATTAGTTTATATACAGATGAGTTCTCTCGCGTACTTTTATGTGTATTAAACTCCAAATATGAAGAATGTGAACTACACACACACACACACACACACACACACACCTACAACTGAACTGAATCATGTTTGAAAAACTTTCCCAAATCTTTTCCTTCCAAATTTAGTTTCAACTTCGAACAATTCTCAAGCATTATGGCATTTACTCCAGCACATCGCCCTGAACATCCAGATAGTTTCATGGGTAGGGAAGTTTGTTTGCTTTTTAAAAAAATCAACTTTCTTTGTTGTACAGCTTTAATCTAACTGGACACAATGACCCAAAAAAGGGGGGGGGTGAAGATAAAAGAATAATTCCACCCACATTAAAGCCAAACAAGATAACAATTGTACTTGCCTGGCTAAAAGAGTCTAGAGGGCAAGATTTGCGTCATTGGCACTCAGGTTACCATAGTGAGTGATTTATTGATATATATCAAGAATGAATAGATCAAAGGCAGCAAGATGACAGGTGATCAATCAAATGTCAAATCAAAGCTGGCAATCAACTGGAAACTGGTTGTTGGTTTTGGGTTCCCCCCCCCCCTCGGTGGGTGGGTCTGGCGACAGAGAAACCAACTTCTTCCGCACCTCTATGGCTACTGGTGAAAAAGAGGCCACCAACAACAACTCTTCGGACCTCTTTCCAAGTACACCGAACCAAACTTGAACTCACAGCCAGACCAAGGCGAAGCCCCCCCCCCCCCGGTCACCGCCTTCCCGGCCAGGCCAGCCTTCGGCTCTCGGCCTCGGGAGCGTCCGCTGCTTGGCCTCCCTACGCCCACCCTTTCCCCCAAAAGTTGAGCGAGCTCACCGGCTCGCCTGCAAATCGCAGCCCCGCCGCCTTTGGCCTTTTGGGCCTCGCATGGCAACTTTGGGCAGCGGGAAGCCCGGATCCGCACGGGATCCTCCCGCCAACCCACCCCCCGCTAAGCAGCCCGTCGCCGACCCCTACCCCACCCCCTCTCCGAACGCTCAACTCGGTTTCCGGCCGGACTTTCGCTTTGCTTTCCCTTTCTTTTTCGCACGCCAAAGAGATCAAAGGGCTGAATGAACTTCAACCCGGCGGGTTCATCCGCAGCACAGCCGAGCTTCGCCGCCTCCCCCCCCCCGCCCCCGAGCTATTTCTCCCGGACGGGCGTCTCAAAACTGCAGCGAGAAACAAAGCTTTCCAAAAAAAAAAAAACCCCGGCACCGCTGGCGGACGCCCCCAACCTCCTTTCAGCGCCCCCCCCCCTCAGAAAAAGAGAGAAAAAAATCGCCCATCCTTTCCGGACGCCACCTGCCTTTGCAAAAATATACAGGTCCAACGGTCCATCCACACCTCCCCCCCCCCCCATCACACACGCATACACACACACCCATACCCGAAGCGATGCCAAGCCGGAGGGAGGCGAGGAGGGGGATGCCAAGAGAGGCGGTGGAGGGAAAGAAAGTTAAGGAAGGGGGAGGAAGGGAGAGAAAGTTTAAGAAAATTGTAGCTTGGGAAAGCGGGGCAAGGGAAACGCCAACACACACCCCCACCCTTCCCTCCCCCAAAAAAAGTCAAAAAAGAGAGGAAACTGCAAAAAGAAACTGATTCAAAAATCCCGTCCAAGTTGAGGAAAGAGGGCTCGGGGTGCGTGCGTGCGCGCGTGTTTTTATGTCTCGGTGTGTGCTTGTGTGTGTGTGTGCGTCAAAGCGAGAGAAGCCGAGCCGAAGGAAAGAGAAATTTATAAAAATAAATGCAAGAGGCGGAGGTAGACCCTGCTGGCAAAACCGGGCGCGCGAAGCGTCTGAATCCCCGTCACGCACCCACGGAGGGAATGTCTGAAAGGGATGACCCACCAGCCAGATCCGGGGAGGCGGGGAAGAGGAGCCCGGGGCGCCTCGCCTCGTCTTTCTTACCTGCCGCCCTTTTGGGTGCCTGCTGTTTCCGCCTTGGCATCGCTGTACTTTCTCCAACCTCACTTCTCTTTCCCAGATCCGAAGCGGCTCCGAGGCTGGCGGGGTTTGTTTTTTTTCTCTCTCTCTCTCTCTTTCTCCCTCACTCTCGGCGTGCGCGCCTGTGTGTGTGTGTGTGTGTGTGTGTGTGTGTGTATGCGCGCGTGTCTCTCTCTCGGTGTGTGTGTGTGTGTGTGTGTTTTCCTCTCCCTTTTTTCCCTCCTCCTCAGCCGCTCAACGGGCACGGCGGCAACCCCAGCGCCGAGCGCCTTCGCTTCTCCTTCGGGGCGCGATCAACCTGTTCGGAGTCTTTCGGGATGCGGAGGATGGCAGCTTTGTTTGGGCTCTTTTCTCCCTCTCTTTCTCTTTCTTTCTCTTTTCTGTCTTACAACCAAAACGGCGCTGGGGGAGCTGAGGGGGGCCCGCCTTTTTGGTCCCCCTTGTTTTGTTTGAACTGTTGCGAGACTTCCTTTGATGCAGACATCCAGGCACATCCAAGGCACCCTTGCTGTGCGCCCGGGCAATGTTGGTTTTTTTTTTTTAAGTGGATCAATAAATAACAAAATCGGGATGCGTAAATAGTTCTGTTGGCTCGGCTGGCGAAGATGGAGGGGGGGTTGCTATTTCCTCGTCTTCCTCCCCCCTGGCCGTTTATTATTATTATTATTAGTATTATTATTATTTTCCCCCTTCTCCTCTCCGCCTCCTTCGCGTAGCTCTCTCTCTCTCTCTATGGCGGCTGGGCGACTATCCGCCGAGGAAACTGCAGGTTTGCAGCCTGCCAGATGCCGGGTTGAGAGTGATGTGGATGAGGACGGAGGAGCTCTCGGGGTGGAAGGAAATCTGGGTATTCACACACTCACGCGTGCACGCACGCACCCTAACCCACATCCATATACCTCTCTCTCTCACACACACACTCACAAATATACACACGCAAACACACACACGGACGCACACAGGCAGGACGAGGCGATGCCAGGAAGCATCGATCCACTGAGCAAACTGTGTATTAGCAAACCCCTCCTCCGCGACCTGATGACAGGATGAAATTTACTCCGAGCAGACAGAAGGCAGTCAGTTTATTAAAGAGACAGGACTTTGGCTGATCGCAGACGTCTGGGCCGGAGGAGGGAGGGGGAAAATGGGGTTTGAGGGGATGCAGGAGCACCAACCTGTGTGCCTAGCGACGTTCCCCTATCCCATTTCCACCCCCTGCGACCCTTTCCTGCAAAGCCACATCCCCCCCCTCTCATAAATCTGAACCCGTTTCTCCCTCCCTCCCCGGGTCGTTTAATGGTCCATTCGTTGCATCTTGAATTCGGTCTTTAAAAAATTGTTTTTTAACGGCGGAGCTTGTCTCGAGGTTTGGCGATGGTGAGTTGGTACATTGGGCTGCTGAACATGTTTAGAGTGCTTTTATCGAAGGATTTTTACGATACAGCTCTTCCCCTTCGCCCTGCCTGCAATCTCTTCACATAAACGGATGCTCTTTCTTTGCATTTCTGCAGAACACTTTTCACCCTTTTTTAAAAAGAAAAAAGGTGGCCCTTTTTTTAAAAAAAAAAAAATCTTTCTTGCTCTCACACAGGCGTGCAGCGTTTTAACTCTGTAATTCTCCCTTCTCTTTTGAAATGTTATTTTGCGCCCCCCCCCCTCTCCTTTCATCTGCACGCAAAGCTAAATTTGGAGGCATACAATTCCTCTTCTCTTTTCCCCCCCCTCACTTTTGGAAATAGATCGCTGGCAAGTTCTCACCCGGCGGCTGAGAAAGGCATCTGAAAGGCACTGGGGGTTGTCTCTGGAACAAGCTGTGTGAAGTTTCCTTTTATTTCCTCTTCCTCTGTTTCACCCAGGTGTTTGGCAGAGATGGGCAGATGAAGGTTGCAGCTGTTTGTATGCTGGTACGTGCTGAACATCAGTCCACAGAAGTGGAGAACAAACTGGAGAAAACTGAACTGGGAAGAACAAGTCCGAGGAAGACTTGCTGAAGGCAATATAGGATTTACCAGAGATGTCTTATTTCGACAAATCCAGCATGCCTGGACACCCTATGAAAAACACACAGGTCTACTTGGACCTGGGCACATAGGGAGGGTTCTTCTTGGATCTGTGCATGTGCCAGATGAGGCTTTCTGCTGTGTGAATACACCCCACAGTATGCAAGCATTGGGTTATGATTACTTTCACGTTGTTGCTTTGTACCACTTTGGAACTAGATTTTCACAGCATTATTAATTGGAGGGGGGGGATTTAGTCAATTGTTCTTTGGAAGCTACAGCCAAGCTGGCATTTTCTTTTCAACTTCTTCAGCACTGCAGCCTTTGTGGGTAGGGGTTCCCCTCTCCTCCTCCCTGCAAATTTTCAGAGCTTTAGCTGGATATCCTTCCCCCTCACCAAGAGATTTAGTGTCCTTTTCTTTGAGCTTCCTTTTTCCTGAATCCATTGATTAGATCTTTCCTCACTCCTTCCCGATACAATTGCCACACAAGCCATTTCTTCACTGTTGAGAAAAGCCACTGCCCGCAAAAATCCACACTGTCATTTCATCCTCACAATTCTCAGAGGTGGTTGGTTTGTGGGGGAACACCTGGGAAAAGAACTTTGTGGGGTTCTTTTGATTAGTTAGGTTCTGAGTCGTTTTTGCAATCGTAGCAATATCATACACATTTTTTGACACACTACCAGGCAAATTTTGGATCTCAAAATATCTACTGACAAACATACAGTAGCGGAAAGTTGTTGCTCTTCCTTTTTAAAAAATTAATACTATGAGAATGAGTGGGATTTTTGGTACTCCATGACTATGGATAGCTTAGGAACAATATACTCTTGGGGGGGGGGGAGATATTTGTAATCTCTCCTACTGCTCAACTGGAAAGAAAGACAGTATAATTCAGGTTTTGTGGGTTTTTAAAAATATTATTTCTATTTATTATTGCTAGGTTGACTATTTTGCAGGGAATGGGGAGGGTTTAAACAGGCTGATAATATGGCAGTATCCTGTCACAGACTGGTGTGCAGAATATATATGTCTTTTCCACCTGGAATTCATAACCAGAAAGGAACTCACCTTGTGTAAAATGTGTAAAGAGGAAGTAACTAACGTTACAATTTGAGAGTTACCCAGACATTGAAAACATCTGCAGCCCAGACATCCAGCAGTTTGGCTACTATTTTCAGCAGAGGGGAACAAAATGGGGAGCTGACTGCTATTGCAAACTAAATTTAATAGAAAAATAAGGACTTTGTTCCTTTCGTACTCCTGGATTTAAGGGCTGGCTCAGGAATGTTTGCAGAAGTAGTCAAGATGAGTGCTGCAGTCCTGTGATCAAAGCACACTCATATTTTTTTTTAAAATGCACATCGATGCATGGAATGATTACAGTTGGCATTATTTTTTTTAAATTCTTCCCATGTGGATAGCCCTGACTTGGCTTTTGACATGCCACTAGTTGTGTCACTTAACTCACTTAGCTAACTATGAAGGCTAATGTATTTTAACACAAGAAACATACAATTCTGCACATCATTCTCTGTCCCGATGCATGGATTCTGCAAGATTCTGAATCCATTCTTGAAAGGCATCAAGTAAAAGGGAAAACCAGCTCAAATGTGTTACCTGCCCAGAGTCTCACATCTGCAACATAGGTGGTCATATAAATCAATCTGAAACAAACAAACAAACAAATGGAGAAATAAAAGCTCTCTAACACTGTTGACTGAAATAGCCATCAAGGAGAATGGGTGTGTATTGAATTGATAATCTGATGCTCCATTGCATGCCCCCAATGATTTTTACCTAGTGTTGAGGTGCGCAGTAAAAATGATCACATGTCAACGAAAGCTGAAATACATCTGGTTGCACAGCAGGGCAATTGGATGTGGAATACATTATTTGTTTGTTTATTTGATTGATTGATTGCCATTGTTGTTCCTTCAACCAAAAATAACACTCTAGGCAGCACATAATATAATACAATTACATTCTGAACTATAAAACTGGCCAATTAAGCCCATAACAAATTAGAGCATATCAGTCAGAAATAAATAACAAGTCCCCATCATAATCTGCCATAGTGTATGGAGAAGTCATCAAATTTGACCAGCTCAGATCACAGCTGGCACACCAGTGCAAAAGCTCTCTTTTCTATCTCTGAACCTACTAACAGTGGGAAATGTAAGAACATTCCCAAACTGCAAAGGGCTGCATATTTGTTAGGATGTGCCTCAGTGGAGGACATAACATTCTGATCTGTTTCTAAAATTGAAATCCTCCAGTACAATAAATTTAAGAGTAATACTCTGCCAAACCCGAACACACTCCTGCTAGCATCAAGGGGCCCTGGTGTCACATTAGTTCCTCGTAGGATCCCTGCTCCAGAGCTTGTCGGGTGTGAGTCCTTGTTGTTGAAGTTGGACCTTGGGGGTCAAGTGGGCCTGCTGTTAACGTACCTACCTCCCAACAGCGTTGCAACAGCCCTCCCTCACTCCTCGAGTCAGTAGCCGAGCTGGCGGTGGAGTTCCCCAGGCTTATGGTGCTGGGGGATTTCAACCTGCCTACGCTTGGTGAACGCTCTGATGGGGCGCAGGAGTTCATGGCTTCCATGACAGCCATTGACTTGACCCAAGTAATCCGGGGTTCGACTCACTCAGCGGGTCACACACTTGACCTCGTATTCCTCTCGGAGCAGTGGAGGCGTGATCCAGAGTTGAGGGGTATTAAGATCTTGCCCTTGTCATGGTCTGATCACTTCCTATTGAGGCTTGACTTTCGGAAGCCAATCCCCCACTGTAGGGAGGAGGAACCGATTGAATCCATGTACTTTTTGTTTGAGCACTTGCTCCTTATTCATAAAAAGCACAATAGATTTTCTATAGGCCTAACCTTAGCTTACACCACTTTTTTTTTTTGTGCATGGTGC